TTTCTTGATGTTTTCAAAGTCAGAGTTTAACTGTGGAAAACATCAAGAAAAAAGCTGAGAAAAGAGTTTGAAATGTACCGTTTGAACAAATTTTCAACGTTCATGTTCTTTTTAATTTCGAGCCTTTTCATGGCCCCCGTCCAGACCCAAACTCAAAATCGTGTGAAATCCTCGAAAACCATCGTTCTAGGAACTCTATATTGATAAGCGCAGACGGTATCGTCCCTTCCACATCTGCAGTTACCCTTTCTGCGCGTCTACCCCTGCGACAAGCGTGCCTAACATGTTGGCAACATGCAGCAACATGTTGACATTAAGCTCAGAAGCCAAAAAGCCTTATCAAATGTTATCGCATGTTGCAAACATATTCATGCGGCCAACAGGTCAGATATGCGTGCCGCAGGTCAGAGACACAGACCAAGGGTAGCAGCAACTATGGAAGAAATGATATTTGGACGCCAATTTGTTGCGCATCGTGATACATGTGTCACGGACAGATATACTTTGCAGGTGGAAATGGCGCGCCAAACTGTACGCTCGTCCGCGTAGGTGTATGGGGAGCACAAAGGGTTAGGAAAGCGGCTGTATTTGACGATTCAAAGAAAGTACACAAGGAGGTATACTCAGCCGAAGGCTCTTCCGTCAGGCTTAAGCTAGCAGTTTTACAAATGCTGGGATGATAAGGTAATTAAATTTGAAACGACTCGATTACAATCATGGCAAACAAAAGTTCCCCTCTACATACAGGGTATTTGGTAGGTTTCCTGGGGCCTGGATTTTCAAATACAGTTTTGGCTGCTTTTTGCTCTGATATGCATCATATGCCTATTCAATGACCACAAATTAACTACGGGTTTTGACTGAAAAATTTGCAAAATTTGAGAAGTACGTGCATTTTTGGTTTTTCTTAGGAGGAGAAGAATACTTTTGAGCCGATAGGCTTTTTACATGCATTACAGACTAAGGAAGAGACCTTCTAAATGATTTACGAGAGTTGTCTCGATAGAACCGGCTCTCTCTTTGTGACTGGCATCCAAAAAAGTTATATTAAGTGCCTCAGCGTAATAAAAATTCAAAACCACAGAGAGATATGTTTGTTGATTTGATGGTAAATTTGGCGAGCACAATGAAACAAGAAATGCGTCAAGAACAAAGGGGCAGTACATGCTTTAGGCCGAAAACTTTTCAAGTCCCATAGTGATTTTTTCCTGGTAGCGGTCTTGTATGTATGAAAAATCAACTTCAACCTTGTTACTGCTATCAGTTTCGGAAATGAAAACAATTTTTTCTTACCCAGAGAGGGTACATCACGCGAAAGCTACAATGCGCATTGTTGTCAGAAAAGTCACCGAACACATGCAAATGGCACTGCATGCCTTGATCGGCTTCATATGTTCGCATTATTAGAAGAGAGGCATACAGATTAACCACCACTTCAACAAACATTTTCAGCTATGACTAATTATGAGTAACGATCACCCTTTCTAAAGCAGTTTGTAAGCAGAAATAACATTGAAAAATATGTAGTTATGTTGCTAGCTGAACATGCGGGTGAAACACTTTAAGAGAAAGGAGTATTTATTGCGTATATCGCAAAAACTAAAGTGCTGGTTGAAATAATAACGTGAAACGTCCACCCATTTCAAAAATTTAGATCAGTGGACACAATCTGATTTAGTGTTTTTGCTCTTTCTCTCAATTGTTTTTTTCTTCAGAGTGGATATTCATAGAGTAATGAATATTGCATTAAGTCATGAAATCAATCGTAATTGAATCAGTGATGGATGCATTCTTCAAGTAAAGCTGATGAGCATGACTATCGCACAATTTTCTGGCTGAATCGTGGTAGATTACGCCTGCACTACTAGTCCACTTCATTACATTTACCGTCCCTTTCAGATCTTCTCATCGCTTGCAAGCTCTGACATTTTAGCCACTTTATTTGTATAACTTTCTTGAAACAACTGTTCAGAAAGGTTATAGTCGAAACGATGGCCTTCTAAATCACATTCTAATCTACATAATGTATGTGATAATAGAATAAATTAAGCATCAGATTGCGGCTACTCGCTGAGCATCACGAGCTGGCAATGAGTTTACTATCAGGTTGTCCCATAAGGGCTCGGACCAGGGCCCGGCACGCGTTGGTTTGGAGCATTTTTGGAAACGAAGTGCCCCATGACTTTGCGAAAATTTAAAGTCTCTTTTGACGCAAAGATCAGTAGGAAAACTTAGACAATCAAAATAACAAAAAAAAGCGAAAAAAACGCATTTTGAGGTATCTAATACAATAAAAAAGCAAAAAGAAAACATTCAGAGTTGATTAAAGGCTCTTGTCATTGAGTATGGTACCATTTTAGTGCTCAGAATGTCGAAAACCCCTTAGGCCAACCACATCTGTGGCCTCAACTGTCTGGCGATGCATTTTTCGCCACATAGTTCAAAGGACACCGCATGTGATTGAAGCGCGATATTTATCAAGGCATAGATTTACACTACTTTTGGTCCAAAAAAAAGAGGACAGGCAATGGTTTGATTCACTCTTTTCACTGTATGATAGATTTTTGAGCGTTGCAATCGTCCAAATCAAAAAGGTCCAAAACTTATGTGAACTCTCCGATATTTATGCTCCGAACCAACCCAGTTGGTTTGGTGTTGGTCTAGAAACCAACAAATTCGGGAACGGGTATTAGGACACATAAGTTTTTGGAACTTTTTACATAATATACTTTGGGATAATATTGTGTACACATAAGCCAAATTCGGCACCTTGTAATTGCTTGTGCGCTGTAAACAAGCCATTTGTTTGTTTGAGTCAGGCGTTTGGAATTCGCGCGCTTGCGAAAGAACACGTTCAACTCGTAAAACCTGACATGTTTGTCGTCTATTTTTCGGCGCTCCCCCGGGACCTTGTAAAACGATATTCCCTTTGCTTCTGACCCCAAAAACGAAGTCCAGTTTGACCTCAGACCATCTGTGCCGAGCTCTGCCTCGGACAGAGTTCACGCGATTTGATCGTCGCGATTCAATCGCCGTGATTTCCATTCATTTTCATTTTACATTCAAAAACTTCGAGCTGAAAAAGTACCACAACCGAAATGCAAGCTGGTCGACATGCAATAAACTCGTATAGTTGTCTTGTCGCGATTAAATCGCGACAAACAAATCGCTAGAACTCTGCCCGAGGCCTAAATCTTTTCATTTTTGAGTTTTCGCTGCAATAAGTCATGCACTTCTTAATCTAAATAGACATCGGGATACCCGATAGAGCAAAGCAAGCTCTATGAAACGGCTTTTATGCTTTTGCACCAGCTGTGATTTATCTCAAGTTTACCTATACACTTCATCATTTATCATTCCTTCACTTCATCAGACACTCTGTCCCGTTGATGTATTTTTTATTAGCTAGAAATAGATAAAACGACAATTTTCATGTTTTTGCCAAAGTGATGCTGTGCTGTTCTTACACTAATAGTTGTATACTACAGGCCCTTGAAAGTACAGCCGTCGACTTTTAGCTTTCTACAAGCTCCAGTTCCCGAGAAATGTTGAGTTAAGCGCGAAATACCCGAGTGAGGAAGCCAAATTCGATACTTCTCGGAAGCTAGAGCTGGTAGAGAGTTAAAAACTTACAGTTGTCTTTTAAGGGCTCATTTTTGAGGTGGCTTTATAGCTATGGCCAGCACTGTATCCACTCGATTTTTTATTATGAAGCTGCGAATCATGTTGAGGGATACACGTGACTAAGAAAGACACTTTATATTCAAACCCACTGTCAAATAACTTAAATCTTTATATCCTGAATTTCCTAAAAAAGGCAATGAGATGGTCATTTTTTATGGGGGGGAAAAGATATGCACTGAGGTTGGGTTGAGTTGAGCCGAAGTTGCAGTGCGCCTACACACAATGCATAATACACATCCGAACTTTCCACAACACCTTTCTCTGCCATTTCAACTTTCTCCTATTTTGCGTGGAAGCTGTTTCACAGCATCTCATTTTGAACTTGTAAGACGATTGGTTTAGCGCTTAACTTTAGCAACGAGGTCATCAATGGGGCATCCTCATGTCTGTGCAGTGGTCTCTAATATCGCACTACATATCCACTTATTTTCCCGCAGGCAGACTATACTGAGTCACCCTTTTCAAAGAACAACTTTTGGTAGCAGGAATTTTTCGTAAATGTGCAATGAAAGACCAATCTGCCATAAGTGTGTATGGTTGCCGTTGAAGAACCAACTACTTCAAAAGATACTTTTCTCAGACGGTGACTCATGTGTCCGTTTGCACTGACCAAATCTAATGCGCACCGCCCTCGCAGCTTAGACACATAAAGATTATTGTGACCTTTTGATCCCATTTCCATTTTTGACCTTCAAAGGCAAACACAGCGAAGTTGTCTAAGAAGTGAGGATTTGTAAACAGGAAGGACATTTTATTCTCGCTTATCGACAGAAAGGCAACACTATATCAAACATGCATAATCGAAATGAACCCGCCATTGCACATGAGACTTGTTGTAAAATTAAATACTAAGAGACTAGACGAAGTAACGAAAAACAGTATTACACAACTATAAATCAAAGAGCAAAGAAGGCTCGCTTATTTTTGAAACGCAATTGCGCTAATCATCTAGAACAAGGATCTGCTTACCGTAAAAAGTCCAGTTCCAAAATGATCATCAATCATCCGAAGTTTACTTACAAAGGCAAACAAGTTTCAATGGTTGGTTCCGATCGCAATTTTTGTGTAACAAGGCGATTCGATAGATGTGACCAAATCTCATGAGCGCACGGAATTTGGTTTCTATCGTGCAAGACACTGTCATTTACAAATAGGTGCAACTTTCGATGTTGGTAATGGCACCCACACTGTTGCGAAAATCGTTTCTACTTTACAGATGAACCAAAATAATAACTCAGTTGAGGGGCCGTGCATCAAAATGAGTACACAATAACTGAAATGATTATAAAGCTCCACAGGATTTTCGAAACAATTACTCATCGAGCCGACTTATCTGAGTCGACTTCCTCGTAGTCTATTTTGTTGTGTTCTAGTACTTTGCGGACCATGGCCTCGGTTCGAACTTGGCGTTCATAAAGGTTGTCAATATTTTTCTGTAGTTGATGAAGCTGCTCGAACATGGGTTCAAGTGATAACTGAATATCGTAAGAGAAATCCTAAAAACAGAATTATGTCAAACTTCCTAAAAAACGCCCTTACGTTTTTGTCTACTGTGTCAAGGTCCTCTTCCTTTTCGGTGTAGTTGAAACCGAATCGAGTGCTTAATTTTTTCCACCAGCTGACAAGGCCTGATTGGGTAGAATAGTGCGAGCGCGTTGTCAACTTGCGGATATATGGCATCGATGCTTCCACTTGTAATACGAGATCCACCTAAGTGATTAGCTTACAAGGGAACCTTGTTTAGTCGAAGTGGCCTTTTTAGATGTCTACCATATTGGGAAGAACAAAGCAATACCAAATTTGCCTTTCTTATCTGCGGAGCGTTTATGGGTGAGAAGTTACGAGTTTTTATTGAAGCAAAAAATTTCATGTGCAAGTAAGACAAAATCTGTCGTAATATTTTTTAGGGCTTCAATGGAGCAATGATAATATCAAAGCACCTTATTCAATAAATGCTTCCAGATAAAAATATATCAACCTTGTTTGCTTTATTTACGGGCCAGGGAGGTTTTAACAACTTATTTTATATTAAATGCACCAGACTGCGACAGAGACAGAAAGATGTGTCTATAGATTGCCAACTGCGCTAAGATCGAATTTGTGCGAATACTGTCAAAGAAAGCTTTCGCATAGCTTTTGTTGATCAGAAGCAACTCCCACCTGCATACTCAGTCGTTTCAATTCAGCTTTGTCTTGCACAGACTTGATGTCGTCTACAGCCAAACCAACCTAAAGATGATCGTTATAGCTATGAAAAGTCCAATACCAAAGTACCAGCAAGTTCATCAAAAGTATAGTCATAATGACGCAGAAGAAGGAGAACAGCGGATAAGCGAGTTCAGGGCCAAATAGTCGTTCCGGATGCACATGCATATCGCCGTGAAAAATTGCGGTGAATTCCAATTCACCAATCATCATTACGGTAGTTTTTAGCACAGCCGAAGATACGGTTGAGAATTCAGGCTGGAATGGAATTTGCTAGATCGATTACGTTGTGGATGCTTGCATCTAGCTTTACCCTATTTTGCATGATAACGAAAAATGCAATGCTGAAGGCAACGACAAAAAGCACGAAGATGATGAAGAAGCGTGAGAATGTTCGAAGGATATCGAAGAACATTACAACGTAGATCCCAAATCTGAAAACGAGAGTGAAAGTAACCGGAAGCAGAAGGCTAGTAGACATTTGACCTTGGCAGTTTCCGAATGAGAAGCAGCAAATTCATCCAAGATAAAAATGCGCAGACGGCCGCAAGATACCATTGCCAATTCTGAAAAATGGGATTTTTGAAAAAGGTGTCACCAAAATCTACTTGAAGACCAGGTCAAGCCGAAGTCACTCTAGTTTCAAAAACTGAAGTGAAATGATGCAAACACTAATTGGTTCCAATCACCCTTGTATACTTTAGCAAAGACCTCTCGACTCATCTTTGTAATATCCATGTAAAATTGACGCTCCAGCAAACTTCTTTCGTGGGAAGGGGGTGGAAGAGGATGAGAAGGGGGGGGAGGGTGGCAGCCGTTTCAAATGGGGTGGTCCACACCTGCGGTGTTTTCGAAAAATGTGGGTCGCAAACCCTGAAATTCGAAGAAACCAGAGTGGAGGGAGTAAGGGACCATAGAACGCCGAAAGTGGGAGGTTTCTGCCGGACATGTGCAACAACTACACATTCCAATACTCGCACAGGCTGATATCTGCTGCATTGTCCGCGCGGGACCCTTCCACTTCCGGCGACATATAGTCCTCTACCAGTGGAGCTAGGCACGCCTAAGAAAAATTTCCCTACAAAACTACGTTGATGTATCTTTAGAAACCAAATTTCTTCTGATTACTCATGGATAAGAACAAATTCTCACAATTTTGTAATATATAGGTCCAAAAACTTTCCAAGAGCGACCCATTCTTGGGAGGGGGAGGGGGGGGGGAAGGGAGAGAACTGCTATGCATTTAGAACTTTATTGCCTTAAACAGCAACGGACATTATTTCCTCCCCAAAAAAAGAAATATTGGTAAAATTTGGATTTGGAAGGTTTGGGAAGCAAAGCAGAAGAACTTACCATCCTCAGTCCAGTCTTTTCAGAGCATGGCGATATATCTGACACTACAATAATCGCTGATGAGTATACGAAACACTCGATGGCGTTGTCCAAAGAGATATATCTGAGGCGTCGTGTGAACATTTGGAACAACTAGAAGAAACAAACTGGAGAGAGTCTCTGAAACGTAGTAGTTGGTTGCTCACTTCCTTGAGTAGCTGGGCGATGGCTAAACCGATCACTGCCCACTTGATTTCTATCAGCCAATTCTTTCGTACCAGTTTCTGAACATTTTGCCGTTCGCATTACAAAGTAAGCTCCTTTCAAGACCGCTTTTAACACATCCAATGCTAGTATTGCTTGAACTTCTGGCAATTCATCAGCAAAGTCGCACTTACAACTTCCTCGCATGTAGCATTTTTCGCATAGAGATATGCGCTAAAGTCGACCATTATGTCCTTATCTGCGTCGTACACATTGAAAGGGGCAGGAGTATAAGTGATGAAGAGAGTAAAAAGAACCATGAAAACAGTATAAACTATCAAACCTGAAAATCAAGTTTACTGCGATGTAAAAGATCAGATTGAGTCATAAACAACTTGCCTAAATAGTAGACGTATCTCCCGAGACTGTTCCATTTGTGTTTGATAAGTGCAATCACTAGCGGATGAGAAAGGAGTTTCAGTTTTTCCGCATTTGCCTGCAGGTACAAACAGCATCTTTTTCGCACACTGACTTCAACTTTATTTGTTACAAGGGGGATTCAATGTTTCATAGTCGAGTTCTGATGTAGTGGCAAGTATGGTTGAAAGTTTGCTTGTTTTCGTTCGAAAATTACGCATTTATTGAAAATCAGATTAAGTCATATACAAAGGCAAGAAAAACTTTGTTTGCTCTACGCGCTCAGGTGGACGCTGTAGATTTCACTGATTGGCGCATCCTGAAACTGTCTGTACAAAATTTTCGAAAGAACATAACACGAGATTGACTGTCGGACTTGCGAAGGGATTAATACTTCAGACCCCGCAGAACTTTACCATTTCATGCTCGCAGCTTGCCTAGAACTTTCAAAAAGTGTATCATTCATTCTCTGTCTGACAGTGAGAAACGCGAGCACGCTTTGCGTATGCTTGATTAACAAGTTCATGAATGCGTTCGAACGCGTACCTGTGTACTACAAGGTATTCGTGAATGACATGTTTGAACTCGTATTGTTCTACGAGCTTGAACATGTTCTATCACGAATTGCTATCAGTAAGTCATCCATAATGCGTTAGAACGCATTCCCTAGCTTGTTAATCAAACCTACGCAAAGCGTGCTCGCTTCTCTTATGGTTAGTCAAAGATGAATAATAAGTGAAAAGCCGTGATAAATGATAATCAAACTTGATACTTTTAATCTATTGGGTTTCATTGTTCTCCCTCCTTGAAGCCGGACTTCTGAGTCTTGGCAAACAAGACAGAAAAAGTTTCAAAACCTAAAGTCACTTTGTGCAAATTCACAATTCGCCCAACTTTCAAAATCCTTTCAAATAGCTTGAAGATGCTCTGATGATAGGCTTTCATTTGAATAATTATGCTTTGAAAAGCTACTGACAATTTCCAATGGAGGCAAACCATGTTGTATGCAAGAATTCAGCTTCCTAGGCCTGAAAACGCGATGGGAATCTCTCTATAATAAAGCGCTAGAGATGACTCATGCATGTAAGATACCCCCCCCCCCCCCCTTCGTGGTCGCAATTCGAATGTCAACAACTTTGTCGTTATGTGCCGGTGCAGATGCACCGAGCTGTGGCTCATGATGGTAGTGGCGCCTGTCTTAGATGATGTTAATCGAGAAGCCTAACCAGCAAAGTGACTTGGTAGACAAGCTAAATGCTGGAAAGGGGGAAGGTTACTTAGTCCTGTTTTCGTTATGCATTAGATTATTATATCAGGTAGCGAGCAGCAATACCAGCTTCCGCTAGCAAGGTTTGGAGTTTCGGAAAACATCAGTCAAAATATAGAAAGCATATTGGATGAGGTACGTAAATCATTGTGAGCTGAAGGAAAGCAAGATGGAAGTCTCCAATGCTAGAAGTACAAAATGTGGTTTAAATGCCACAAAATTGAGATTTGGGTTAGAGTAGAGGAAGTTGATACGAAAGAGGGGAGGGGGGGGGGGGAGTGGACAAATTGGAGAGATTTGCACTTTGTCTCCAGCAAAGGCAAAATACGCACGTTTCCAAGCAAATCAGAGGTCAAAGCTTTGAACGGTCCTGACAGGAGAAGCTCAAGAATGGTTTTTGGGATGTAGTCGAAAGGTAAGTGAATACTAGCAAAACTTGGCGCAAACACTCTGATACTGCTAAATTTACATATTGATATTAGGGATTTGGGAAAATTTACATATTGATATTGGGGACATTCAGACATTTTTAATGAAAGGAATAAGCGTCAGATTTTTCCCTGATCTCAAAGGGGCCGGGGACCTTTCCCCACGGTTTTTCGAAGAACATTCATTTGGGGAAAAATAAGTAATAGAAAAGCGGAAAGTAGGTGTTGGAAGGTTGAGGTACAGGGCTTTGAAACCTGAGTGTCACAGCCGCCCCGCTCGGCCGCCACGCTTAGGTCCGCGCAGCGTTCGTGGCGCTGGCTGCGCGTCGACTGAAGCTTGGCAAAAGCCCGGGCGATACGCCGCAAACGCCGCGCGCGGCCTGAGCGAGGCGGTCGCGTTGGAGGAGCCGCGCAAGCGGAGGCTGTGACTCTTATGTTGAAAAGCCCTGTAACTCTCGCTGGGTATATTAAATTTTTAACCTAGATCTTTTTAATAAAAAATCTAATCTAAAAACCTCAAGAATATGAATAGTGTGACACAATTTTGAAGAAATAAGGAATTAGGAAAATGTGAAGAACTTTTGAAGGGGTTTCGGAAAGAAAGCAAAATATGCTCATGCTGATAAGCCTTCAGGGCAGGGGAGGGGGAAGATTGAAAACAGGGGTGAGGATTGCAACGCAGTGTCACAGAAGAGCTTTCAATTTCTTCCAAAAAGTTTTCCAGATGACCTAGATGGCAAACTAGTCCAAGTTGCACAATCTCAGCAGATTTGGCTATTTTAGACCCAACAAGCTGATGTTCTAAAGCTGTGTGTCTTCCATATGCCAAAATTTGGGGAGCTTAGAACAGCTCTGCCGTATATTTCATTCACCCCAACATGTAAAACCTATAGAATTTCACTTATTTCCCGTTTTCTATTAGCAGATGTTTGCAGGCACCCAGTTCTTAACTAACCTTAAGAAGTGGCAATGTGCCAAACTTCTATGCCACCCCACTTCCACGCACACACACGGCCAGACCGAAGTGCCGCGGAGCGACACTTCGGTCTGATATCTTATATATAAAGCTGAATGTCTGTTTGTCTGTCTGTCTGTATGTCTGTATGTCTGTGTGTACGTATGTTCCGAATAGAAAATTCCATTTCTGAACCGATCCGGACCAAACTTGGCACACATACACTTCGGGCCCCGGCGGGTGTCATAGGCTACTTTTCGTCATCGATCGATATCGATTTTATCGATTTTTATCGATTTTTTTTGCAGAGTTCACCTACGGGGCTGGGAGTTGGCACAGGGGGGTAATCGAGCATGGGAATTCCGAATACAATATTAGTTTTCAGGATTATCGATTACTTTTATCGATTTTATCGATTTTTTTGCAAAGTTTGAACTACGGGGCTGGGAGTTTGCACAGGGGGGGGGGGTAATCGAGCATGGGGATTCCCAATACAATATTAGTTTTCGTGATTATCGATTACTTTTATCGATTTTATCGATTTTTGCAAAGTTTGAGCTACGGGGCTGGGAGTTTGCACATGGGGGTAATCGAGCATGGGGATTCCGAATACAATATTAGTTTTCAGGATTATCGATTACTTTTATCGATTTTATCGATTTTTTTGCAAAGTTTGAACTACGGGGCTGGGAATTTGCACAGGGGGGTAATCGAGCATGGGGATTCCCAATACAATATTAGTTTTCAGGATTATCGATTACTTTTATCGATTTCATCGATTTTTTTGCAAAGTTTGAGCTACGGGGCTGGGCGTTTGCACTTGGGGGTAATCGAGCATGGGGATTCCGAATACAATATTAGTTTTTGAAATCGTCCATTATTTTTATCGATTTCATCGATTTTATCGATTTTTTTGCAAAGCTTGAGCTACGGGGCTGAGAGTTTACACAGGGGGGGGGGTAATCGAGCATGGGGATTCCGAATACAATATTAGTTTTCAGGATTGTCGATTACTTTTATCGATTTTATCGATTTTTTTGCGAAGTTTGAACTACGGGGCTGGGAGTTTGCACAGGGGGGTAATCAAGCATGCTGATCACGAGTTCGATATTAGTTTGGCGCTATTCGGCTAACCGGGCTCCAAAATTTTTTTGTCGTAGAGCTTGCTCAGATTCGTGTATAAGGGTTATCTTACATGCTGATTACAGATATCACACTTTCGTCGCAGAAAGTCTCCCCATGTGGTTACGATAGGTGTGCGGTAGGAAGTCAAAATCATGAATTCGGCTGGAGTTCGGTCCAGAGAACTTATTCGACATGCTGATTACGAATTTCATACTCTCTCTGCATATTGGGACCTCTTCATAGAGTTAGGGTGGTTATATACGGTGTGGGGTCGGAAACATAGATTTGCAAACTTCGTCTAGGGTGGTCATTTAGCGCGCTGAACATAAATATCATGTTGATTTCGCAGGATGGTGCATTTTCTTGGGTTACGGTGGGTGTAGATGGGTCGAAGTTCCAGATTTGCTCAAAACCTTAGCTGTTCACAAGTATACTGCTTATGAATATGAAACTTGCTCGCTGTCATAACGCATTAGTGAAGGGTGAGTTGCAGGATTTGAATGGACAGGGCCAATTTAGATCCCAGATATTCATGAAATGGGGAAACGGTCGTTTTGCATGGCGGTCTCCAGCGCCATCCTGATGACCTGTCCCAACGTGTAACGCACGCGGCAAATCTCCCTCCCCTGATTTGCTTAGGCAAATGCCGCCGAAGGGTGTATCGCACGCGGCAAATGTCTCTCCCCCTATTTCTGCTTAGGCAAAAGCCGCCGAAGGATGTATCGCGCGCGGCAGTGGTCCTATAAGGAAAGCATCACGGTCGTGGGAAACCTTTATACCACAGGAATTGCCTTTATCGCGGGGATTGAGCACGATATTCTTTGAACAGCACTTTAGGTAATACCCTGCCAAGGTTTCATACCCGCTGCCATGACTATGATATTGTCATCAGCGGCTCAAATAACCCCCATATACCGAGTTTGAGCAAGATCCGTCACAAAAACATTTTGGGGCCCGGATAGCCGAATAACGCCATCAGTTTTTAGAATTATCCTGACTTTTATCAATTTTATTGTTTTTTTGTGCGAAGTTTGAGCTACGGGGCTGGGGTTTGGTGAGGAAGGTAGGTGAGCATAATGATTATTCACGCAGCGGGAATAGGGAATGTAGAAGTGGGCACAGGTAAAGGTGTACAGGGATAGAAATGGAACCGTTATCGTTTTTGACAGGGCCAGGCGGAGCCGGGTAAGCCAGCTAGTATATATATATTAGGTCGTTCCGAAAGTAATGTCGCTTTTTTCAAATGAACGTCACATTTCATGGAATC